AAAAATAAGGTAATGCAACTAAAACTAAAAGAACACAACTTGTCGTCCACGACTCGTAAATCGTTTGATGACAGGTAGTGTTACGGTATTTTCTCAACCGCCAGAAAGATACAACTCGTACTAACTTAACTACTTTATTGAATGACGTAGTAACTACGGAGCGACACCAATAACTAATACAATAACTATCCTCTTAACTTACAGCCCTCTATAAATACTATAACTTCAATCGCAGTGCACTACTGCACAACTCACGGTTTTTTTTTAAAGATCCTTGTCGCCTATCAATATCCACAACACTTTTCCAAGGCAGCCTTCCACACGGCTGACGATTCCAGTAAATAATTTCAACAACTCTATCCGGCTCTCGCTCCTCTGAGCTCCTTGTAGTAACACTAACTCACTGAAAAAAGTCTCTAACTTTAACCTATCGCGACTCCTTATATATCTTTTACAAAGGTTCCAGAGTGTTCTACAGATCTGTAATATTGCTATTTTTAGTAAGTTTACACTACTATTACATCATAACGAAAATATGCTGGCTAACGGTTCTAGAAAGTTCCATTAAAAGTTCTTAATGAGTCAGCATGACTAAGCGTTCTAGAAACTTCCTCGATTGTATTAATATTTTAGCAACTATGTAACACCACGCTCACCATAACAGCAGTAGCAGCCTACACACGAAAAGCGTAATGAAATGAACACTACGATGGATGCAAAGCGTGATAAGTGACACATTAGCAGCCGATCCGGATCCTTCAGTACATTACCATAAACAGCTTTCTTATGAAAATCGATGATGTTCTTCATACGCTCGTAAAATTTAGGCAAATATGAACGAACTGTTTCGATGCTTGGAGCAATTCAGTTGGAGAGATTTCATAGTCAGCTGTGCATTTTTTGCCATCCCCATTAAACCCAACCTTGCACCGCAGTTAAAAGAACCTTCGGTATTGTTGCACTCAGCGTTGACGTCACAGTTGTGGGTTTGTAGAAACAAATTATTTCCGTAAATATTTAAATTTTAAAAGAAGTTCATAAAAGCTTTTTCGGCCGTATGTTCTGATTGGATGACCTGTGATACTCGACAGGACTGAAAGCTCACTCAAAGTGCATCACGTGAAATAATGTTTGGGGGCCGGTCATTTTCTATCGGAGGGGGGAGGGGGCGTTCGGAAGATCACAGGTTTTCAAGGGAACGGATACAAAGTGTGAGAGATATATCTTAATTAACGTTTGGTTGTGTAGTATCGCTAAGTATTTTTATAGGTTGTGCCGTATCTTGACGAGCCCGTAAGGCTAGTCAAATTATAAACGAAGGCTAAAAGTGTCATTCTTGGTGTGTGTCAGTGTTGGGTTGATTCCATCGCAACGTATCGTGGTAACGTTATTTGCTGACAGTGGCATAAGGGACGGCACTCTGATTGGTACAAGCACACCCTGTGGCTGTGATTTGATTGGTACGTGACACATACCTAATGCGGCAATTTGATTGGTTTGCGTTAAATGAAAAATGAGGCAATCTGATTGGTACGTGATACCTACCATAAGTCGACTATATGACAGATTGCCGCATTTTTCATGCATCACAAACCAGTGTTTATAATTTGACTAGCCTTACGAGCTCGTCAAGATATGGCAAAGCCAGCAAAGGCATCCTCGACCGTATTAATAGCGACATTGCAAAAACATCCAACTTCAACCAATGGAAAAACACCGCATCCGTAATTAACTGGTTTAAATCTGCTCAAAACCATCAACACTCCAGCTTCATTTGCTTCGACATTGAAGACTTCTACCCCTCCATCAGCCAAGACCTCCTTAACAAAGCACTCTACTTCGCCTCTAACTACGATAGGATCACCGCCGACGAAAGAAACATAATCCAGCTAAAAGCTCCATTCTATTCCACAAGAACCAACCCTGGTAAAAGAAAGGCAACACGACATTGGACGTCACCATGGGGCCGAAACATGCGAACTCGTGGGAAGCTTCCTCCTTTCTCAACTCCGGCACCTTAACATTAACGTAGGACTTTACCGAGACGACGGACTAGCCATTACTAACGCTTCACCCAGAGACACAGAGAACACCAAGAAAGAAATATGTTGCATTTTTAATAATAAAGGACTATGCATCACCATAGAATAATAATAAAGGTCTTCATAATAATAATAGAGGTCTTTATTAAGAATTATTGTGCAAACAGACGTGCAACAATTAACATGAATAGAATGAATAAGGAAAAGGAAAAGGTATTAATTACTATTGAAAAGACATCTATTAATAAAAACTGATTTAAAACGGCTTGTCTGAACCTTAGGTAAAATATAATTGTGCGACCTAGTTCTCAACTGCCGTGTTCTCTGGGGAGGTAAGAGATCGCTCAACGCAGTGCTGGTGGAAGAGATCCTTTGCCATAATTTCTTATCTCTACTAAGACGGATATCCAAGATACTGTGCCGCTTTAGACAGTAACCCTGCTTATAACACCCGGCAAAGAGCTTATCAATTTTACTTAAATATTTACTATAAAAAGCGCACCCCCGACCTCAATAGCATATGTAAAAACTGAAAGAATCAAACTTTGAAAAAGTAATTATCAATAGAGTAGCCATATTATTTATATATTCTTAAAATATACAACCTACTGGAGAAGCTAACAAACAAATCATTAACTTCCTAGACGTCACAGTTAACCTCAACCAAAGCACCTATCAGCCCTTCACTAAACCTAATACTGAACTTCAATACGTCCACCACGAGAGCAACCACCCGCCCATCTCTACAAAGAACATTAAACGCCTTTCATCCCTATCTTCCGACAAAGCATCCTTTGACGAAGCCGTCCTACCATACCAGAAAGCACTCGATGAAATCGGATACCGCTACACACTACAGTATGACCCTCCAACAACAAATAGACGGGAAAACAGACAACGCAACAACATCATCTGGTACAACCCTCCATTTAGCAAAAACACCAGCATCAACATCGGATACAAGTTCCTCGCCCTAATAGACAAGCACTTCCCTAATGATCACAAGTTCCCAATAATCTTCAACCGAAATACCATAAAAATAAGTTACAGCTGCATGAATAACGCCAAACAGATAATTGATAACCACAATAAGCAGATTCTAAAGTCATACACGCATGCAAGCCAACGACACCGCCACAGCTAACCCTAATACCACTTAAGACAAGAAGATATGCAACTGCCGACAAATGAACACATGCCCACTCGAAGGAAACTGCTTACAATCATCAGTCATCTACCAAGTTGCAGTCACGCGCAACGACAACAACACAACAGAAACAAACATAGGACTCACGGAAAACGACTTCAAAACAAGATACAGAAACCATACCGCATCATTCCGCCACTCTAAGCACAGAAACTCAACTGAACTATTAACTGCATCTATTAATTAGTTAATTTGGTTAGGTAGGGGACGTTAAAGAACCCACTCACGAGACTACTGTGATGTGATCTGGCCTGTTTACTGGGAATCGGCGGGAGGGGGCATCTTCAAATAAGTTTCCTTCGATTGTTTGTAAACTGATGATGTAGTCTGGCGAAAGTCCCCCGAAAAGTGTTGTGATGCACCTTTGATCAAATCCACATGGTAATTTGCGCAATATAAATATTAAGTTATTATAAACTAAGCAGGTACATCTGGACTCTCAAAGACAACAACATCGAACACTATATTTCATGGCGTATCCTGTCTTCGCATTCACCGCACAACAGCTCAAGCAAAATATGCAACCTCTGCCTAAAGGAAAAATTTCTAATCATTTACCGACCGAAACTTTCTACACTCAACAAACGTAATGAACTTGTGTTTTCTTGTCGCCATAGCTACAAGCAAAGCCCTACTACGCAACAGCTAAACTGTTAAACTTCGCGCTGCATAGATTAGATATATTTTTATTATTGTTATTATGTAAATTATTTTGTATATAAGAAGCGATGGTAAAGAATATTCTTATTAAATCCCCTGATGCGTGGGCAACCACGAAACAGGCTTGTCGGGATGAAAGCATAGTTTATTTGTTTCTTTCCTCCACAACTGCTTTAACTTATCTAGTTTAGTCACCAGAACACGTTTCGCTGTTTATCTATTCTATTTTTATATTATTACGTCCTGAAATGTTTACTGTTGACACGAATTTTAAATTTGAATATTGCTCATGTAATTAGTATGCTCCTGAGGAAGACCGAGACGGTCGAAACGTCGAGCTAATAAACCAACACAGCTACATTGGAGTTGGCCTCTTGACCATTACATTTCTGCTTCTAAGTAGAAGCTTGTAAGGGGTCCCACAGACAATGCTGATTAGTCTCAAACACGCTGCCTGGAGGATCACTGAAGCGATCGTGGGCTCTTGAAATAACGTAAATAAAAGCAGAAATGTAATGATCAAGAGGCCAACTCCAATTTAGCTTTGTTGGTTTATTAGCTCGACGTTTCGACCGTCTCGGTCATCCTCAGGACCATACTATTTACATGAGCAATATTCAAATTCCGAGTTCATTACGTTTGTTGAGTGTAGAAAGTTTCGGTCGGTAAATGATTACAAATTTTTCCTTTAGGCAGAGGTTGCATCTTTTGCTTGAGCTGTTGTGTGGTGAATGTGAAGACAGGATACGCCATGAAATATAGTGTTCGGTGTTGTTGTCTTTGAATATACCACTACCACACTACTTGGAAATTTGAATATTGCTCATGTAATTAGTATGCTCCTGAAAAAAAGGGCTTATTATCCTAGATATGATAGTCGATTTACCTCATATTTAGGATTAGGAAACGTTTTTTTCTACCATAGGTTAGTTTGGACTAGCCATCATGCTCTGAACAATGCTCATTAATTGGGTAATTGTCAATACCCCCGCTGAAAACAGGATTACAAATGCACTTGAATGATCCTTTGGTATTTTTACAAGTGGCATTTTTATTGTTGCAGTTGTGAGTATGAGTATGATCAACACTCGTTGATGTCTGAAATAAAATCGACAGATCTTTCACCAAAATACTTAAGAATTAGGGTCGCAAGACGGGTACTCATGTAAAGAGTTTTGATATTTGTCATTAGATGCGTGTGAGGAAGCTAGCGAGTGAAAAGTGGCGGTTCTGCGAATAGGAGAGTTTAAATCCATATTGCTTTACTTTTCCACTGAATGCCTGAAATAGGTTGGTCCTAGTGTAGGTGGCTTGAGCTCTTATAGATGTCAAACGACTGCACTGAGAGATATTTAGAGAATAATACATGAATGCACGCGAGGCTGCAACTTGAAAAGGAGAGGACAGTCTTTAAAAAAGAAAACGAATTTTATAACTAATGGAACTGGCTTTAGTTCATTCCTGTTCTTTCTAAACAAGACACAATACCCAGAAATGAGAAAAAGAAAAAGATATTGAAATTGCACCCCTACCCTCCTTTTCCTTCAATAAGTCACATTTAACACGTGAATTAAGAACAGCCGATTTTGATTCTTAAACCATCCGAGGAAATGGACCATTGTGTTTCAATCAGTTACAAAGTTGATTTTTATCACTTTAAGTCTTACCCTCTTTACAATCGTGGCCAGTAAATCCAGACGCACATAAACATTGATATCGTTTCTTTGTAAATCCCGACTGGCAAGTGCCGTTGTTTTGGCATGGTGATCGATGGCAAAAATTCTTAAAAGAAAAAAAAAAAGGCATGTCACAAGTAGTTGTCCACTATCTTCACAGCCTTCTCCTACATTTCGCCGAGAACTTGAGCGCGAAAAATAAATCGAGAGGGGGCGTCTTTGGAC